TAAATTTACATTGGACGAAACGCGTCGGCAGAAGATACAGTTTTGCTATTTTTTTTTTCCTTTATACATGTTGTCTTTTTCTACAGGTTAATTCTAAGACATTTTTAGATATATGTATGTGTCTATTCTGCTCTACAGCAAGAGCATTAAATGGTTGTTTTTTTAATTTTATTTCACCATTAAGTTTGACTAAATATAAATCTAGTAAGCCTTTTTTTCTATACACTGTCGTCATAGTCATGTGACAATTATCAATTTATAGATAGAAAATCGTCTCGTGGATTGGTAACTATGCTTCATGGATGATCAATAATAATAGAAATCCGAGGGAATAAGGAATTACCCAGAAGACATTTTATCCTGTTTCATTTCCTCTTACCAAAAAGAAATCTAGTATTTTTAAAAAAGAACTCCAGGATTTCCATAGAAACTCGTTATAGCTGAAGGAGGAAGGGGGAAAAGCCATTACTTTCAGCCCAAGATAATTCAGCCTTTTTCTCATAAGACTTAAATTGAATCTCAGTATTAAAAAGCAATTTTAACGCATCCAAAACGAAACGACAATCGTCTTCTTCTTCTTCTTCTTTAGAATGCTGGCGATTATGGCTCTCCCCAATTACCTGTCCTTTGTAGCTCCTATTAAATTTTGTCATTTTGCTCTTGTTACGTTCTGTGTCGTCTCTAGGTCCCTGTACTACGACATAAAATGGAATCAATGAAAAGGACGATTTCTTTTTTCTTATTTGTTTTATTAGGAGAAAGACGTGGCGGCTTTGGATTCTGGGAGGCAGCGGGAGGCATGGCGTCGCGGTAATGCATGTTGCGCGTAGGCTCAGCGTCCTTCCGCAGGTAACTTAAGCCGGTCTCGCTGGGCGTGGGAGTCATATCGACGGTTCAGAATTCTTGCGGTCGTCTGTTAAATTCGCGCAATTTTGGACATATATCCAAAACCCAGAGAAATCTATTGCTGTCAAAATACCACGTCCACGGCACTCTCCGGTCAATCGCTAACCAGTCTGGCCCTGGTCATCGCATTTTGTTATTATTGTTCTGTGTAGCATCTGATTCCCCAAGCTATTAAATAAAATGGAATCAACGAAAAGGACGATTTCTTTTTCTTATTCGTTTTATTAGGAGAATGTGGTGGCAGGTTGGATTCTGAGAGGTAGTGGGAGGAATGACGTCCCAGGAACACATGTCACGCGTTAGAACAGCGTCCCTCCGCTCGTGGTTTAGCCGGTCTCTCAACCTCTTCCGGCTCTATGTTAAATATATAACATGTTGCTGCTCTCTGCAACTATAAACTAGCAAAGAAAGACTTTCTTACAATCCAAGATATTACTGCATTCTGGGTCCCCATGCTGCTACTTAAAATGGAATCAATGAAAAGAACGATTTCTTTTTCTTATTCGTTTTATTAGGAGAGAGACGTGGCAGCTTGGATTCTAAGAGGCAGCGGGAGGAATTAAGACACAGGAACACATATCCCTTCGCTAGTGGTTTTAGCCGATCTCTCAACCTCTTCCGTCCTAAGTTAAATATATAAGAGAAACATTAGTTAAATGTTGCTGCTCTAAGCGACTATAAGCTCGCAAAGAAAGAATAGTTCTTACAATCAAAAATTTTATTGCGTTCTGGGTCCCAAGGCTGCTACATAAAATGGAATCAACGAAATGAACGATTTCTTTTTCTTATTCGTTTTATTAGGAGAGAGAGGTGGCAGCTTGGATTTTAAGAGGCAGCGGAAGGAATGGCGTCACGAGAACACACGTTAGATCAGTGTCCCTCCGCTGGTGGTCTTAGCTGGTCTCCCAAACACTTCCGGATATCTGTTAAATATATAAGAGTAAAAAAATACTTAAATTTTGCTGCTCTCTGCCATAAGCTCGCAAAGAAAGAATTCTCCTTACGATCCAAAATATTAATGTGTTCTAAATCCCCACGCTGCTACATAAAATGGAATCAACGAAATGGACAATTTCTTTTTCTTATTCGTTTTATTAGGAGAGAATTGTGTCAGCTTGGATTCTAACAGGCAGTGGGAGGAATGACGTCACAGGAACACATGTCCCTCCGCTGGTGCTCTTAGCCGATCTTTCGGACCCTATGTTAAATATTTAAGAGAAATAGTACTTAAATATTGCTGCTCTTTGCGACTATAAGCTCGCAAAGAAAGAATTCTTCTTACAATCCAAAATATTTCTTTTTCTTATTCTTTTTGATTTGGAGAGAGTCGTGTCAGCTTGGGTTCTAAGAGGCTGTGGGAGAAATGACGTCGCGGGAAAGCATTTTGCATTTTGGCTCAGCGTCTTTCCGCTGGTGGTCTTAACCGGTCTCGCTAACCTGAGTGTGGGAGGCTTATCGATGCTTCAGAATTCTTGCGACCCTCTATTGAATTCGCGCCGTTTTGGACTTATATCCAAAACCCAGAAAAAGGCAATCATCACAGTCAGAATACCACGCCCACAAGCCACGCCGGCCAATCGCTGACCATTCTGGCTCTGGACTTCGCGTTCTCTAGCAGGTATAATGGTGATCCGAGTTCGAATTCCAAATGATTTTTGATTTTTAACAATGATTTTCGCGCAAATTCTCTTGACAAAATATGGATTCGTTGTTAACTGTTAATTAATATTAATGCGTTCTGGATCCCCCACGCTACTACATAAAATGGAATCAACGAAAAGGACGATTTCTCTTTCTTGTTCGTTTTATTAGGAAAGAGTGGGGGCAGAGTGGATTCTAAGAAGCAGTGAGAACGCATCTTGAATGTTGGCTCACCGTCCTTCCGCAGGTGGTCTTAATCGGTCTCGCTAACCTACGTGTGGGAAGCGTATCGACGCTTCAGAATTCTTGCGACCGTCCCTTGAATTCGCGCCGTTTTTGCTTTATATCCAAAACCAAGACAAAGGCAATCGATCACTGTCAGAATAACATGCACGCGTCTCAACCCGGCCACTCGTTAGCTATTCTGGACCTGGCCTTCGCATTGTGTAAGAATAATACGAGAAATTTTGGGTGTAATAACAACAGCGAGTAGAAACTTATATGTATGAACAAGTGAAAACCAGAAGAAACACTATTATAATAACGGGAGTTTCCTAATGATATTAGGCGAGACATTCAAAATGCCAATCGGGCCGCATTTTCCAATGACGGATCTACATATCAGTGTTGCGTTCTGTGTCGTCTCAGATTCCTCACTACATAAAATGGAATCAACAAAAAGGACGATTTCGTTTTCTTATTCGTTTTTATTAGGAGAGAGTGGTCGAAGCTTCGATACTGCAAGGCAGCGGGAGGAATGATGTCACGGGTACGCTTGTCGCACATTAGCTCAGTGTCCCTTTATTGCCTTATATGGGTGATGCCGATTAAAAAAAAAGAAAGATAGATGCTTTTAAATGTCAATCTCTTCCTGTTCATTATTAATGTTTCTGTTGCTAATTCTTCCACATCCTGTAACTCCTTGTGTCTGAGTGGCTTTACTACCTTATATGGGGTCATACCGATTAAAAAAAAGAAAGAAAGATAGATGCTTTTAAATGATTACCCTTTCCTCTTCCTGCTCATTATTAATGTTTCTATTCCTAATTCTTTCACATCCTGTAACCACTTGTGTCTTAGTGGCTTTATTGCCTTATATGGGGTGATACTGATTAAAAAGAAGAAAGGTAGATAGATGCTTTTAAATGCAATGTCAATCTCTATCTACTGTCCTCCTAATTATCCTTTCCTCTTCCCGCTCATTATTAATGTTTCTCTTCCTAATTCTTTCACATCCTGTAACCACTTGTGTCTTAGTGGCTTTATTGCCTTATATGGGGTGATACTGATTAAAAAGAAGAAAGATAGATAGAGGCTTTTAAATGCAATCTCAATCTCTATCTACTGTCCTCGTAATTATCCTTTCCCCTTCCTGCTCATTATTAATGTTTCTGTTCCTAATTCTTCCACATCCTGTGACTCCTTGTATCTTAGTGGCTTTATTGCCTTATATGGGGTGATACTGATTAAAAAGAAGAAAGATAGATGCTTTTAAATGCAATGTCAATCTCTATCTACTGTCCTGTTAAATGCTACATCGATAATTATATTCTGTCTTCTTAATTATTGTTATTTTATTGACCTCTCACCTTAATATTTTTTCTCATATTCTTTCACACCCAATAATCCCTTGCATCTTAGTGGCTTTATCACCTTGCTTGAGGTGAAATGATTATTATTTTTTGTATTCGTTATTTCTGTATTTGTTCAATGATTTTGTGAATAAAGTGAATTCAGTTAAAGTTTAGGTAAAGCAAAAAATAAAAGAAAAAAAAAGGCATGAACCGTGTCTCTGTACACTTTCCGATTTCTTGTAGCTGTAAGCAATGTTTGAATCTTTACCATTCCTCCATCGAAATTCTCAAAGAAGAAACAGCACCTCGGTGAATCTCCTGGGATCAATTGCACAGTGTTAATCACGTCCTAAAAGGCTACAAGAAATACACAAAAACGCACAACAAATATTATGATCTACAAAAAATTACCCTGCTCTTCAAAGATGTAACTACCTCTCAAATAATAGGCTACCTTAAAGAAATAAACCAGTTCGAACACATATAGAAGAAAGTTCCAAAATACAAATACATAACCTCTGATGCCTAAACAGAAAAAGGAATAGTTCTCCTAAATTAAGCTATATTTCTAAATGTCAGAATTCTACCAAAAATCGTGCATAACTATTCCTTAAAGACTGATGCAAAAATAGATTATTTTTCGAGAAATGATCTAAAAAATGCTGTAATATAAAAAAATCCAATCTAAGCTATCGAAGCTCACATATCGATTTCAGAATATTTTTAATCAAGTTCACAGCAAGCAAGACAGTAAAGCCACTATGACACAAGGGGTTACTTGGTTTAGAAGAATTAGAAAGTAGAAACATTACTAAGGAGCGAAAACAAAAGTAATCACGGAGACAGTAGATAACGATTGACATTGTATTTCAATCTTTGAAGATCAAAGTTGACAGGAAAGCAAGAAGCCGGAAGAGAGTTCCACAAGCGAAAATTGAACGAGAACAATAGAAGAGTAAACAGGAAGACAGTAGATAATGATTGACATTGCATTTCAATTTTGAAGATCAAAGTTGAAAGGAAGGCAAGAAGCCCAAGTTCCACAAGCAAGCAGACGGTTACATCAATCCAATTCGACACTAAACTGATGAGACCTTAAATGTATATAGTCTAGGTGACATAGCAAATAGCTCATCAGAACATTTCCATTGTGTCCCCCACGGCAAATTGACACCATTTTAAATGTGAATATCTGAGTAACTACATTTCCCTGATAAGCGAAATTAAATAGGCTTCATTTTGAACAATAAGACATTTATTTTATTAATATTTGAACAAGATATTCCAAGGGATGTAAATTTTATAACCGATTTCACAAAACTTCAAAAATGTTCAATATGCTCATCACCTGTGACACGCTAGGTCGGTAGTCCAGCTTCTGCCAAACACGTTGTTGCATGACTTGCGTAACATTATCCGAATTCCGGATGTTTCCTTATAAGGAAACGTCTAATATTGCCATTACTATTTGTCACCTCTCTGCTATCCTTTGCAAACTCTCGTTAACTTTCATTTAATCAATTCACCCGCAAACATAGAGATAATATGACTAAGACGCTGCGGGTTATAGGAAGTGAAAGAGAATGAGAGGACTTTAGAAGAAGCCGGAAACCTACCCTAATTCTCCATGTATAATACGCATTTTTTTCTAAAAATAATAAGCAAAATCAAGGGTGCGTATTATGCACAGCTAGAAAAAATCTTTAAAAAAACTGCCATAAAATAAAATAAGAATTATCATAAAACTAAATTAGAATAATATTATTCTATGTTAAATCCATGTTTTTAAATAAGGGTAGAAAACGCTGACCGTAATGAAATTGGAGAGTTACAATTTATCGCGTTTTGTTACGGAAGAAGGGGTGCGTATTATGCGTTAGTAGAAGCATTTTCTCACACTTTCAGCACAATTTTAGGTGGGCGTATTATGGATGAAGGCGTATTATACGAGGAGAATTAAATGCTTAAATGTTCAGTCTATAGAACTGGTACAAATGTGCCTCTTTCACTGGTGCAAAAAGAGTCTGAGAGTGGTAAGTCAGATGGTAATGAAGAACTGAAAAGTACTCTCAGGAATTGGCTCTATCTGCAAACAGCTAATTTTGGTTAAACTGGGATACGTCTCACCATTTGTACTTGGAACAAATAGTTGTTGATTCTGTTGCTAGGGATGTGAACCTGTGATGTATAACTGTATCTTGAGGTAAGAAATGCTTGAATATGTTGCTTATCTATATAATAAATGCGAATGTCAGTGTGTCACACATTTTCAACTTTACTCCTAGAGACAGTAGCCCAATATATCATGACATTTTGGAATTAGGCTGACTCCGTGAGCAAATTAAAAACAGTTCGGGCCGAATTTGAACTCGCAATCCTGAAATTTTGGATTACCAAGTTTTCTTTAGTGTGACTGTTGTCGTCTTCCGCCATATTGGCTGATAAAAACAATTAAAGGGACACAACTCTCTAACTTTCAATAGCTCATGTTCAAATGAAAAAATAAATTTAAAATAAAATTGTACCTGTTTTCAACTTTTCACCTGGAAGCCATAACCCAACATATACCATTTTGGAATCGGCCGACTCCGTGAATAAATTAAAAACATTCCAGCTCAGATCTAGACCAGCAATTCTGAATTTTTGATTCCCAAGTTTTCATTACTCCGATTGTTTTCGAGGATTTTTTTTTTTTTTTGCGTGAGTTTTTGCAACGATTTTTTTGTACGATGACAATTTTTCAGACAATTTTTTATAACTTGGAAATAGATTTGGGAATACGCGAAATTAATTGCGAAATCCAGCGAAAGTCACCCATAAAATAAAAAATAATTCTCCGTACATAAAGTAAGGACCTACGTACATCATATTGTCTTTAAATTAAGTGGCGGCAGAAGAAATGAACTTTATTCTGCTTTATGCTTAAACGCAATCTTCAGGCCATTATATTTATATTTACAAAGAGTTTATCTCTGATATTGGACACTTTTACCCATAAATATGGCATACCTTTAAACTATCTTTTTATTATACTCTAGATAAATTTAAACCATTTTGTTTTTGCCTGATGAGGCAAATATTAAAAATTTGTCACCGAATTTTTTTTCCTGATATATATATATATATATATATATATATATATATGTGTGTGTGTGTGTGTGTGTGTGTGTGTGTGTGTGTGTGTGTGTGTGTGTGTGTGTGTGTGTGTATTTAGTCATCAATCCTTCTTTCATGAACATTTCATCGAAAACAGCAGACAAGGTGATTTTATTTATTTTTTATACAATTTCTCATGCGATCTAATAATTTTTTTTTCTTTTCGGATGATAAATTATATAAAAACTGTCCGAATGTTCTTTTTATCCGAGCGTTTTCGGCTATACATTTAGCCATTTTCAAACTATTTCTTACTTAACAGTTAAAATATTTAATCCTTGAAAATAGCCAAATGTATAAGCTATCTATCTATCTATCTATCTATTAGTCTTTGTTCAGATCTATCTATCTATCTATCTATCTATCTATCTATCTATCTATCTATCTCATTTTCTGTTCATATCTATCTATCTATCTATCTATCTATCTATCTATCTATCTATTAGTCTTTGTTCAGATCTATCTATCTCATTTTCTGTTCATATCTATCTATCTATCTATCTATCTATCTATCTATCTATCTATCTATCTATCTATCTCATTCTCTGTTCATATCCATTTTCTTCATATCTATCTATCTATTAGTCTTTGTTCAGATCTATCTATCTATCTATCTATCTATCTATCTATTAGTCTCTGTTCATATCTATCTATCTATCTATCTATCTATCTATCTATCTATCTATCTATCTATCTATCTATCTAATTTTCTCTTCGTATCTATCTATCTGTTTGAATTTAGATGCGGAATCATTTTCTTATCCGGTCCAGTTTTACTGACAACCTTTCAGTCGTTATACCCTTGGTCTTTCCTCGGGTATTTTTGCTTAGTTCGTATATACCTTTGGCACCAACAAACCGATTAGTAACAAGAACGGATTAACTTTTGCTAAACTTTAAGTTCTGATTTAAGTTTATCATACTTTTCTTGTTAATCCATTTACTACATACAAATACACATTTATATATAGTTTTAATATATTTTCCCTTTATACTTTATTTTAATACATACAATTCATTTAAGGAAATGCTGTTTTTTAAATAATTATTGGTTATATTGGCTGGCCTGAATGTTGGAGAAATTTCGTTGAAAGTATGCGTTCTCCGACAGGAATTGAACATGTCTCCTATACGGAACCGTCATTTGATCTAACGTGCTCTACCACTCAGCTACAAAGAAGCGTCTGGTTAGCAAATTCCGTATTATTGTTTATAAATAACAAATCTTCGACGATCTTTCTGCTCACGGGAGTACTTTAACGAAAGGAAACATTAATTACATTTATTGGCCTGAATGTTCGAGAAATTTCGTAGAAAATATGCGTTTTCTGACATGTGTCATATACGGTACCGTCATCTGATCTAACGTGCTCTACCACTCAGCTACAACAAAACATCTGGTAAGAAAATTCCGAACTACTGTTTATAAACAACAAATCTTCGACGATCTTTCCCGAACGATCATGTCTGCTCACGTACCTTAACGTAAATATTGACAACATATTGTGCAATGGATTAAGTTTCTTTTTAATTCATTTACTACACGAACACTCACAGACCAACACACAATTATATATAGATATAATATATTTTGCGTTTATACGTAATTTTAATACATACAGTTCACTTAAGGAAATGCCCTGTTTTTTGTTTTTATTTAAAATAAACATTATTGGTTACATTTACCGGTCTGAATGTTAGAGAAATTTCGTAAAAAGTATGCGTTCTCCGACAGGAATAGAACCTGTCTCCAACAGGGAAATGTCATTTGATCTGACGTGCTCTACTACTTAGCTTCAGAGGAAGCGTCTGGTTAGCAAAGTCCAAATTACTGTTTATAAACAATAAATCTTCGACGATCTTTCCCGAACGATCATATCTGCTCATTAAACGCAACTTAACGTAAACATTGACAACATATTATCAAATGGAGAAGTTTATGAGACTTTACTTTTTAATCCACTTACTACACACACAAACACACAATTATATATAGATTTAATATAATTTCTGTTTATACTTTATTTTTAATAGATACAATTCCTTTAAGGAAATGCTCTGTTTTTTTTTCTTTTTTTTCTTTTTTTTAAATAAACAGTATTAATTACATTTACTGACCTGAATGAGCGATAAATTTCGTATAAATCCAGGCCGGTAAATTGTATCTTTTAAAGATAACGTATAATTGAATAATCCTTCGCAAATCTGTAGTTGATGTATGAAATTTTCAAACTTTCTTGATGATAGCTGTATCTAAGTTTCTGACTCTCATGAGTAATGTTCAGGACTATATCGTTAGTGGATTATATGAAAGGTGGTAAGAGTAGTAAATAGTGCATCTCGGACAAGGTTACATTTAAATTTAATAGAAAACACTCGCAAACGCTGGATGTCCCCTCCTCCACCTATCACTCAATCACGAGAGGAGAACGCGTTTCATGGCGTGTTTTTTGTTTTGTTTTTTGACATGGGGGAATGCTTGGTCGGAGACTGTAATTATTTTTATTTGATGTTTTTGCCTAATTACACACTCCGAGGGTGACTCACGTGAGTCAAAAACTTCACAGTCGAAATAAAAGTTCTGTAAATTTCATTTTTTTCACGCCCCTCTCTTATAATTACGTCGAGCACTGTATTTTTACCCCAGCACTCACTATGCACACATATACACAATATATATATATATATATATATATATATATATATATATGAAAATATATAGAAAATAGGAAAGAACTCTTTAGGTAAATAATCCAAAGTTCTTTAGTATTTTAGTTACTATTTTTTAAAATAGTGCTCGATACAAAAGTAGAGCATAAATACAATTATTTATTTAAAAATACGATTCCAACACGCTACATAAGAGTTCTCATGTTTCAAAACAAGAGCCGAAAACTTCAATATAATTATTTGAATTAAATTGAATTAAAGTAAGCTCTGTTCCATCTTCAAGCGAAATTTTTTTTGGAATAACTTATTTCTGAAATTTACATGTTTTAATAGCATGTTCATTATTGGAACCAAAATTTCTATGGTAACGGCTAGAGGAATTGTTTAAATAAGAAGGTGTGTAGGTGTTAATAATTTGTATCAGTTACATTCATATTTTTAAATAAATCATTATATATATATATATATATATATATATATATATATATATATATATATATATATAAAACGTATTATATTAGGCAGCATATATTTTATATTATAAAGAGATAATCATACATCGAATCAATTAGCAATATTAATGCAATTAATGGTGAAATCTCTTCGCTAATAGACTTAATATAAGCATTAAACTACTAACAATCCACTGAATGACGCGATCCTTATGTATAAAATTGTTGTCAGATGAATCTAGTGTGTTTTCTATAGCAGCAAGTACTTTCAAAGACTTCATGTCCTCATCATCAGGCTGTAATTTTTTCCTTTAAAATTAAAACTTGAAGACGAAATAAATGTGTTGTAGACCGAAAGATGTTTTTTCTTTTAATATGGTGTTATTTATTAACGCTTATATAATATTGGAACGCGCATGTCACAACGCTAAGATTCAAATATTTCAAGTGAGAATTTGTTTTTATATGTATTTTGTAATTTGGTAAATCCACGAATTCTTTTGTTGTAAGTGTTTTCCAGTTAACGTGACATGAACTAAGTACATAGTTCCATTAATAGAGTGATATGTCTTAGTAGTTTTTATTTCCTCCGGAATTTCGTACTGCGGATCAATTGTTTTCATAAACGTAATATATTAGGCAGCATATATTTTATATTATAAAGAGATATTCATACATTGAATCAATTAGCAATATTAATGCAATTAATGGCGAAATCGCTTCACTAACAGACTTAATATAAGCATTAAACTACTAAAAATCGACTGAATGATGCGATCCTTATGTATAAAATTGTTGTCAGATGGATCTAGTGTATTTTTTATAGCAGCAAGTACTTTCAAGGACTTCATGTCTTCATCATCAGGCTGTAATTTTTTCCTTTAAAATCAAAACTTGAAGATGAAATAAATGTGTTGGTGACCGAAAGATGTTTTTTTTTAAAATAATGTTATTTATTAACGGTTATTATAATATTGAAACATGCTAGTCACAACGTTAAAGTTCAAATATTTCAAGTGAGAATTTTTTTATATGAATTTTGTAATTTGGTAAATCCACGAATTCTTTTGTTGTAAGTATTTTTCAGTTAACGTGACATGAACTAAGTACATAGTTCCATTAATAGAGTGATATGTCTTTTTTTTTTCTTCCTGAATTTCGTACTGCGGATCAATTGTTTTCATAAATGTATTATATTAGGCAGCATATATTTTATATTATAAAGAGATAATTGTACATTGAATCAATCAGCCATTACTGTGAAAATGAACGTCGGGATTGAACTAGGATCGTTGGTCCTTCGTTTTATAATATTTACACACACCGCATATACTGTCTTTTTCTTTCTCTTTGTGCCATGTCCCTTCAGTACGTAGTCGATCATGGCTCTCCACAATTTCCTCTCCTTTGTAGCTCTTAATAAATTGTGACTTTTGTTATCTCTCCTAAACCCTGTTCTGTTATCCATTTACTCAAGCACATTTTTACTTCTTCTCCTTCTTCTATTTGCCGTGTCACTTCGGGACGTAGTCGATCGTGGCTCTCCACAATTTCCTGTTCTTAGTAACTCTTAATAAATTTTGTCTTTTTGTTATCTTTCCAAAACCCTGTTCTGACATCGATTTGCAAGAGCTCGTTATTTATCTATGGGCCGTGTCCCTTCAGAACATTAGCGATCATGGCTCTCCACAATTTCCTCTCCTTTGTAGCTCTTAATAAATTTTGTTTTTTGGTATCTCTTCTAAACCCTGTTTTTCCATCCATTTACTCAAGCTCCTTCTTCTGATTCTACTTCCTCTATGTGCCGTGTCCCATTAGGACGTAAGCGATCATGGCTCTCCACAATTTCCTTTCGTTTGTAGCTCTTAATAAATTTGATCTTTGTGTTATCTTTTCAAAACTTTATTCTGTCATCCATTGACTCAAGCTCATTCTCCTTCGTAGCTCTTAATAATTTTTTGTCCACAGTTTGGAATTCTCATAGACTGTCTACCAGCCAAGGCTAATAGGTTCAGTCTATCCTGCTATTTAATCCATGGCTAGGGAGTAGAATATAATGAATCCATGCATTTTCCGAGGGTATTCGCGCGTAAGGGAATAT